GAGGGGTAAAAAAATTTGTGAGAATTAAGATGTATCTGTACATCTACCAACTCCCACAATGAATGTAATCATTATATATATAAACTGTACTAATAAAAATTCCCATAGATTCTTTCAGACTTGTTCCATCTCCCACCTTTCTTGCTGGGGTAAATACAGTTGGGTTTCAACTTTAGATCAGTTTTATTTCTAATGTTCTTAAAACTACAATTACTCATTCCATTTTCTAAGCATTTTTAATGTATCTTCGATCTGCAAGATGTTCTGTGAGTCTGACAGGATTAAAATGGTGCTAAACATGAACTGGACTTTTATGCAAATAATTAACAGTACAAAGCAGAATATTCCAAGAAGGTTTCAACACAAGTGCTAGAAGAACCTTGAGAAGTGACTCGTGGATGACCAAGGAGGGCTGCGGCATACAGGACAGGCCTTCCTATGACCAAGCAGGGACTGGAATAGCCCAAGATCACACCTTCAGCTAGCTTAGCTTTTTCCTAAGAAGTCTTAGTTTCTTCCTCAATTCATTGGGAAAATCAGAAACTATGTATCTTATTTTTCTTGTACCTGGCACAATTACTTTGTACAACCTTAACTGGTTCCCCACTTCTTACCAGCATTAAGAGTCTGAACCCCACATAATTTTTCCAGCTGCAATTTCTCCACACTAACATATAAAACATATCAAGGTCAGTGTAGTATTGCCTATTTGCTTGTGGTCATTTCCTCTTTCTCCTCAATTACTATAAACAAATGCCTGATATAAACTAATTCAATGTTCAAGAGGTTTTACCATCACAACATACTTACTCTTCTTTAATCTTACCCCTCCTGTTTTTCAGTCTACCAGCCCATCAATGTTACCAAACACGGAGAGTGACCTTTTACCTTCACTCCTTTGCAGGAGGCATCTCTCCCTGTATCAACTCCCCTGGTTAAGTTTTTACTCACCCTTAAGGATAAAGAACTCCTAAAGTCCCAAATTAAAGAAGGTATTTTCTTCCTTTGAACATGCCTTAGTGCTATTTCATGGCACTTAACGTATTTTTAATATTTGGGCCACAGTTTCTGTCTTCCAACCTCCCAAGGACAGATACTCATATTTCTTTGTACTTATCTACCAGAGAACTTGGTTAACTGTTAATATGCACAGATGGAAAGAACTACCAGGTTCTGCTCCATTCTCTGCTTTTAGTGTGGCAGTATATATTACAGATATTCCACGAATCTCTTAATTGTTCATGCTGAACAGCTTACCTTCTTGGATTCCTTCTTAGTGTATTCAGTCTCCAAGTACCAGGGAGAAATAATTCTTCATTCCTACCTATTATTTGGTCTGATCTCATCAGTTCAGCTTCCCCTTTGATGCCTTCCTACAATTCATCTGCTACCTTACTTTCCCTAAAACCCCACAGCCTCAGTATGCTCCAGAACGTGTTGCCAAGTTTCCCTCAACCTTCACTTCCCACTCATCTCACTCCATGAACTCTATCAAGCCAAAGTCTAATCAGTATTTCCCAAAGATGCTTTGTATTTTTGATACCCATCCTTTTTTCAAATCATACTCAGTGCTGAGATTTTCTCCCCAGTCCCGTGTCTTTTCAAATCCTACTTAACTTTCAAAGCTAAGCTAAATACATTTGCCCTAAATCCATGTTCAAGAACACTTTAATAGGTGTAACAGAGCCAACATTTGTTCAGCAATTTCTAGGTACTAGGCTTGTATTAAGGACTTTGCTTGACCATATGACAATCTTAGATGATAGCTACAATTACCAGTTCACTTCATAATGATAACATTGAGGCTTACTACCATTAACTGACTACCTGAGGCCACTGAGCAAGTAAATGGTAGTCAGGATTTGAAATTAAGTCTGTGACTCTTATATAGATGAGGTAAAGCAGGGCTTTCAGGTAGAGATTCTTCCTAAAAGGAAGGTGACTAACAATGATCACTCAGGAATGGATCTCATCTAGCATCTACTACTATGTTCATCCAAGGCACTGAGTGACCAAAGCCCTTCCAGGGAAAGGGTGTCACAACAGGAGACCCAGCTGTCTACAACTTACCAGGTGGAACGTTCAAACTGCATAACTGAGCAGAACTAGTGTTGTGGGCCCCTAGTCGTCAGAAATCTTTGGTGCAAGTTTTACATTCTACCAGGTATGAGATAGGACACTCCTTAAGTGGGAATCAACACGAAGAAGGTTTTGAGGAAGAAATGAGAATCAAAAGAACAGAGACAAGGGAATATACACATTCCCCTTCCCTGTCCTAACATTTCCATGCTCCTACACTGGGCCAAACAGCCTGAACAGTAGAAAGGATAGGTTTTATCTCACGGTCCCCAGATGATCTATATATACAATCTTCTCTTTTGTCTCAAAAAGTCCTAATTCTGTACCAAACATTTGCCATACAATTTTTTTTTTTTTTTAAATCAGTACCGGGGATCAAACTCACGACCGCCTGCTTGCAAGGCAGAGGCACTTATGCCGCTGAGCTAAATCCCCAGCCCTGCCATACAATTTTTTAAGCTGTTGCTTTCTCTGTAATTTTTTTCTCTGTCTTCCCCCTCAACTAGACTATTGTTAAGAGTATGGTTCAGCATACTTAGGCCACTTACCAAGATTCCTTACAAACATTCATTGGTTTTTTTCCTAAAAAGTACTTCGTTAGATTTACAATGTTACTTTTGTTTCCCATTTATTTTGCATCCCATCTTGCCCTCAAATTTGTTCTAAAAGATTCTTGCAATAGTCTTCTTTAGCATTAAAGCTGTTCCACCATCCACTAGCTGGTGATCTTAGGCAAGTTAATTTCTCTATGCTATCAGTTTCATTTGTATAAGAGAAATGCAGAAACAGTCTTTGACCCCACAGAGTTGTTTTAAGGATTAAATAAATTAACATATATAAAGAACTTAAAAGAGTGCCACCTAGCAGGTACTGGGCAAGTTTCTGTTAATACAAATGAGCTCTAACTGTATATTCTAACTTTCAGTTCACTTCAAAGATTAACAATGGGAGAAATCGTGTTACAGCAAATGCAGCAAAGGGTGGGTCAGTGAAATGCAGTCTCCCACAAAGAAGTTACACATTTCTGGGTGAATTATTTAACTTGTCTGTCATTTAGGATCTTTTATCAAATACAGGAAGAGCAAGGGTGGAAAAACAAACAAAAAACTACCGTTGCAGTCTAAGATGAAAAATATTTTAACATACCATCCATTTTAGATTACCCCCAGTGAACAGTCATCACTAAGGATGAAAATAAACATTGGTTTTTTGGGTTTTTTTTGACATTACAAGCTCAGTTTATTTCAAGGGCTGTTTTCTTGATGACCCTGTATCAAGGACCACTCTTGACAGTTTAAGTAAATTGCTGTTCCACCCTCACGTTTTAAGAAGTATGAAAAAGCTACACCGCCAGGGATTTAGCTCATTTGGCCTAAATGCCTGCCTGGCAAGCACAAGGCTGTGAGTTCGATCCCAGGTACCAAAAAAAAAAAAGCTACACTTAAAACAGTTAGCTACCAAAAGACCATTGATACTACTACAGAATAAAAACGTGTGATTTCTCATTATTAATCTATTTGTATTTCGACCCAATATAACAACACTGAAAAAAAATATAAATGCTTCAATCAAGTAGAGAATCGCCAAATGATGATGACATTAAGTAGCTGGCTGCTCTGTTCATATTTTAAGATCGGTTAAAAAAAAATTCCTGAAATAATAAAAAGAATTTTACCTAGTAATTCAGAAAGGCTACAAATCTGGAGAAACATTCCGGGGCAAATTTTATGGTTCCTTATCTAATAAAATTATTTCTCCACATTTGGTCAGCATATCTAGTAACGGTGCTTTGTTGATGTAGTTGCAATGAATTTTCCACAATTCAACAAGTATTTATTGACCGCCTTCAATCTGCCTAGCACTGGCCTTGTACAATAAATGCTTTCTTTGGTCCCAGGCCATGTAACAGCTACTCTCTATAATGAAAGTATCTTTTTGTGTACTTAGAGGCACTGCAGGAAAGGGAGGGGGTAGTGTCAGGATAAACTGTAGCTTAGTTTTTTCTATTATGTTGACCAAATCTAATCATTTAGAATTTGAGAGGACCTTTTGAGAAAAGTGTCGTTACTTTTGTAGATGACGAAATTCAGAGTTGGTGTCTTATCCAAGGTCACTTTGCTAATATCTGTCTTAATGGCCCATTGCAATTTCTACAAACTTCGTTCACTTCTCACCCACTCCCAAGTCAAGTGGGATGAACTCAAAAAAATCCATCTAATCTCACGGACCGCTCATTTTAAAAAAGCTTTCGAAACACTCCATAAAGCTAAAAGATACTAAGTGTTTAGAAACTCTACCACATCTGTAGGCATTAATGTCAAGGCTTCAAATACTCCTTTAATCACAGATCGACATTGGGGAGAGGAAAAGCTAGAGATCTGGAACCATGCGGAGGCAACTCAAAACGTGTCCATCTCTCGCCTTCCGCATTTTTTTTTTTTAGTATCTCGAGCTTCTCAAAGACCCGGAGGGGGTAAGCGGATAAAAAACACCTCTCACCGAAATCAAAGCAAATGGCGACGACGGGAGAGCAGAAAAAGGAGACAAAGGTCAGTTTGCTAGCTACTCCATCTCAGCAACATTAACTGATAATGACAACATTATAGATGATGAAGCCGAAGAGACAGCAAACAGTTTCTCCCCACGTCTCGGAGCGCTGGGTGTCCTTTGAGACCCTCCCCAGCTCCCCGCCTGGACCCGGGCATGGGAGTGAGGATGAGGAGAGTTCTCCCCCGCGAGACGGCGTTTCCTTCTGCCGGCCTTGGGAGGAGAGAAAGGCAGGGACTCTCTTTGCACTCAAACGGGGCCACCTGCAGCGGGGTCCCCGGGGCCGCAGCGGCGGAGCCCACACTCACCCACACAGCCCTGCGGTCAGCCAGCTCGCCCGCCTGCCCTCCCCTGAGGCCAGCCCCGAGTCTCACCGTGAGCCCCTGGAGCGGCCTCGGGGTGCTGGGTGAGAAAAGAGAACTGACTGTAGGGCTCAAGCCGGCCGAAGGGCACCGAAAACGGACTTAGGCCCTCCCGACGCCTCGACACAGACACAATGAGTCACAAAGGCCGGAAGTATGTCACCATTTCGCCTTCCGGGACTGCGCTGCGCTTCCGTGTACTCTCTAGGAGCGCGGGAGGACTTTGCATCTCGGTTACCGAATCTAGATTTAGCCTTTGCCTTAGGGTGCTCAATCTTTGACCAGCTGTTCTTGGCTTGTTCGCTCCAAATTAATTTGGGGACAGACGATAGGGGAATTCAGGCTTTTCCTGACTGACCCAAACAGATTCTCCAACTCAAGATACCAGTCCATGTGAGAGTTCGATTTCTTTTTTCTTTTCCGTTGCGGGCCGACTATTTAGTAATTATAGTTATTATCAAGCAGTGATACTTAGAATTACATGTCTCTGGCAGAGGAACCTAAGCGAGGATGTAGACCAAGATCAGAGTGAAACTATGGGTGGCTGGTTTCTCAAACCTGCCCTGGGGAGCTTCTCCCGAGGTCCTGCAGAGAGAGATGCCAATTGAGTGGGTGGTATTTTCAAATAGTTGGCTGTGGACAAAGGACATCTTTCCACAAACAAGCTAATTGTAAGGTTCTGTGCTTTGCTCTGTGGCATATGCTATTATAGCAATCTAAAAAGGAGTTTTCAGAGTGATCACAGATACTTTTGCCTTCAAGATGCTTTCCCAACCTACAATTGTCATAGACGTCATTTTTACCTTCTAAGACAAAGTAGGAATAAAGCTCCACCTTGTGCATGGGTGACAGCAGGCCTCAATGGTTATGACTGTCCCCTTTTTCCAAGACAATTTGTGGGAGAGATTGAACTGAATAACTTGGTTGTGTGGCTGCCATACCTGGGGGGGAGGGGGGGACTTTATAAAAAGTACTGCAAAACTAAAACCCAATACAGTACCATTAAAGGAGATTTGCAAAATGAAGGCACATAATCACCTGTAATTTCTTCCCTGTAACACAACTACAATGGCTTAAATTTGTCCTTTTCCTATGTATTTTTGTAATTTTACAACATTGTTCAAAACCTGAGAGGTTTAGGGTGATAGAGGTGCTTATACTGTTGCCTTCTGCTATTTTCTTTGTCTCCTCTGGCTTCAAACAGCCACTTTTTCAGTTTAGCAAAAGATCCATTAATAGAAGTTTGTTGTGCACATTAGATTTTATCCTTGCTTTCTGAATGAATGAGGAATATTATAATGGTACAAAACAATTCAACCCCAAAGTGAATATTCAACATCTACAAAATTTTCAGCTATTTTCAGCTCCACCGTAGGAAATATATTCCTAGACAGCTATATAATGCTTATTCCCTCATCCCCTCCCCCTGCAGCCCTCTGCTTCCTCCTTTTTTTTTTTTTTAATGTCTTTTTTGAGAGGGATCTTGCTATGCAGTTTAGGCTGGCCTTGTACTCACTTTGTAGCCCAGGCTGGTCTCGAACTCGCAACTATCTTCCCACCTCAGCCTCCTGAGTTCTGGGATTACAGGCTTGAGCCACTATGCCCGGCTTCCTCCCTTTCTTACATCCTAACAATCTTTTGGAGCTTTTATTCTGCTAAATGTTAATCTCTTTTTAAATTTGTCGGTCCTCCCCACCTCATTCCCTAAATGCCCATAGGGACCAGCCAGCCAATGGATAAATTCAATTGTTACCCGAGGGGTGAGTGATGCTTTGGTGAGCTGCTCATATGGTGAGCAGAGCCCAGGCTGAGGCAGGCAGTCATTTTCGAGCTATTGTTGCCTGCAAGGTGTGTGTTGACCAGAATTCCTTCTCTTTCCCAGAAAAAACTTTCTTCACATTGCATGAAGAAATTCTCTGTGTAACCTAGAGGTGAGCTCACTAGGTCCTCAGGGAAGGATATTGACAGATGTTGGTGATTGTTCTTAATTCTTAGCATTACATTTTAAATTCGAAAAAAATCTCCCAACAATTTTTGTGGGCCTTGAACAAAATCACACAGCATCTACTCAGGGACTAAATCTCCTGCTTCCTTCTAATGAGGAACCTTGTGATTACATTGAGCTTATATAGATGATGCAAGATTATCCCTCTGTCTTAAGATCTTTGACCAAATCTGCAATTTTTATTTTAACTAGGAGAATCAACATATTCAAAAAATTCAGGATTAGGACATAGATATCTTTATGGGGCTACTTCCTACTGCCAGAGTTTAAATCCATGCCAGTACATTGCATGTCCAGTTCCCAGATCCCAGGCACCTGTAAACTTGCAACACTGAGCTGCTGTTACTGCTGCTGCAACCACAACCACTGGTTTGCCACCAACTCTCACCCCTGCTCAGTAAGTGACACAAGCATCTCATTGGCGAAGAAGTCCAGAAAGTATAATGTGTAATGTCTCAGACTTGTTCAACACAGAACCAATTCAAAGAGAGGAAGGTGAGCTGAGAGCCCAAAGCAGACAAATGACCAACAATCCCTATCACCAACGTCTCAGCATCCGTTCTCACCCTTCATCACATATGTTTCACATAGTAATAACACAGCATTATACTTTCTGTATTAGTTATCTGCAGTTATCACTGAGACACAGTACCTTACACCTATAATTTAACAGTATAGAGATTTATTTGCCTCTCAGATTCAGTGGGTTCAGTTCATGGTTGACTGGCTCCAGGGTAGAAATGGCCTGGTGGAAGGGCATAGCAATGGGCAGCTGCTTACCTCATAGGAACCAGGAACAAAAAGAAAAAAGTGAAGAGCCAAGGACAAAAATACACTCTTTGAGATCACACCCCCAGTGACCCATCTCCTCAGCCAAGCCCCACCTTTTAACAGCACATTCAGCTATGAACTCATCAACGGATGAATCCACTAATGACAAGAATACCCACATGATCCAATCACCTTCCAAAAGCCCTGCCTCTGAACACATGAGATGCTTGGGGAACATTTTAGATCTAAACTACTAGAGTGAATGGAGGCACAGTTGAGACCACTGAGACAGGCAGAATTTAAGCAACATCTGACGCGTTATTGCAGACTGAGTGTGGCCAGGCCAAGGACAAAAAGACCACTGGATCTGAGTAAAAGGCAAGAGCATGTTTTATAGGGGAGTTTAAGTAGGGGAGGGGGCATTGCTGAGGAGGTTGCAAAATTTTGGGTCTCTGAGTAAGGGATCTAGGGGTAGGTGATAGATAAGGCAGTGTTGGATACAGCAAGTGATGGCAAGTATAGCATGTCTCTTCGGGGGTTTTGGTGGAATCTTCTTTCTGCAAGTTGAGCTGTGTGGGGAAGCCTCCAGCTTCCTGCTGAATGCCATGCTCCCACAGATGTGAATAACATCTGCATCTCCTAGCTGGGCTGTGTTTTAGTTTGGAGACTGACATAAACTATTATCGTTTTCCCTTCTGATGCTGCAGATGTTCCCCATATGAGACGAAGTGACTGGTGCTTTTCCAGAAAGTCCCCCTTAGTCTTGTGTCTACCATGGAATGTTGTTAATTCTCTCCTCGGCAGGTTCCAGGCTCACCTACAGTTGCAACCTGAATTGTAAAATAACTGCTCCTGATGTAAAGTCAACAGCATTTCTTCTATAAAATAATAGAGAAAACAGAGAGAGGAACAAGGAATTGTTAGTGAACACAAAGAAGTATATAAGTATATACTACAAATGAGGACAAAAATATGTATGATACTTCAGGTCTTATTTCTGTCTTGGCTGCAAATTGACAAGACAAAAAAACTAGAAGCATGCTTTATACTTACACTGAAATAAACTCCAGGTAGATTAACATTTCTGTGTGTAAAGCAAAACCACTTGAGTAGGTCCAGACAACAATTTTGAAGATAACAAGAGGCATTATAGTAGCCATTGTTAATTTCCTATTATCTTGTTTTGAAGTCATGTGTCACTTGCATCGTTTTGTTTGGTTTGGTTTGGTGATATTGCTTTTAAAATAAAAAAAAAATTTTTAAAAACATGCAATAGGAAGAGATGTGATATACATTGTTATATCTAGTATGTATATATCTAGTTATATATATTGGGGTATGGTGTGAGTGTTTAAACATGATACCTGAAGAGGGAATTCATTGACTTCTCTGCACAGCAGCTAGGTAGATTTTTAAGTTAAAATTCTCCTCTTTACCTGGGCATAGTGGCACATACCTGCAGTCCCAGAATTCTGGGAGAATGAGGTAGGAGGATCATAAGTTTGAACCCATCCAGGGCAACTTAATGACTTAGGAAGACCCTGACTTAAAGTACAAAATAAAAAGGGTTGGGGAGTGCAGCTTGGTACAAAGGCCTTGGGTTCAGTCCCTAGTACAGAAAAAATTCTCTTGAGGATTGTCTCTCCCTTCCTATCATGTACATGTGGCTTGAACAGGTGTCTTCTCATGTAAGTCTGCCCCATGGCCACAGTGGCTGGCCTAGAGGTGAATTTTTCATCCAAGATGTGCTAACCACTCCTCTTGTCACCAGTCTGAGGTGCCTGGATTCTTAAGTTCATGAAACTGAAGATATGGGTGTTCTGACCCTGCTTTTAGATATAGACACAGTGAGAAAATAAGGCTGACAAAGACTGAGCCGGGCATGGTAGCACACATCTGTGATCCTGTGGGAAGCCATGTAATTAACTCCCTTTAGGAGTTAAGTTTGGTAGTTAAGCAGCACTTTGCCTAGCTTGTTTGGCCCATTCAGGGATTATGCTTATGAGCCCACATGTGGGAAATTTGAAAATTTGATTTAACCTATAACCCTCAGTCTTGCCACTGTTGCTAAGTTACCTGCTGACATCTCAGAACCCAACTCCCTCCTCCCCAATACCCTATATATTTGATACTTTTTCCTTGAATAAATGAGACTTGATTGGACTTCTGTCTTGTCTCTATTCTTTGCGTCTCTTGTCCCCTTTCATCCCCACTCCCCCTCTTGGGTCTTGGTGGAATTACTCGCTGGCGGGGACATGATCTCAGCACATGGGAGGCTGAGGCAGGATGTACATTGTGAGTTCAAGGCCAGTCGGGGCTACATAGTGACTTCAAGGCCAATCTGAGCTACCTAGCAAGATCCTGTCAACAATTTAAAAAAAAAAAAAAAG